CCCGCCTCTCGATCGATGTCACGTCATCACGTCAGACGAGTGTCGAGACAATACAGATTGCTACTAATCGTTCTAGGACCCACACACAACTAGCTGGTCGCCAAGTGATGAGGCGGTGTTTTTCTCCCATTCTTCTTTCATTTCCTCTGTTATTCTTTTTGCTGCCCCGATCTCTCATTTGATTTCCTACTCCTAAATGCTAAGAAAGGTGAGCTACTTTTGGTGTTACTAGGGTTTTTTTGTTCACTTATTCTTACAAGTGAATAAATTTTTGCTTACCATAGTCTGTTCTTCGTACCGGGACCCACACGTACGCACTGAGACACATTGTATGGCTCGTCCAACTTCTTCTTCTCCCCACTCTTCTTCATTTTTCTGGTCTCATTCTCGTCCAGCCCCCTTTTTAACGGTTTTTCGAAGCCTTTTCCACATTGTAGACACCGATTCACGCAGTTTCTCCACCCTCATCGCACTATTTTCGACCTTGACTTCCGTTCTTCATCATAACCTGGATTACCCAAAATTATCGCCTTTAATAAAAGAAAAAAAAACTGTGCCTTTAATAACGCGGCTCAAACTTGAGCCGCCTTGTTGCTCAACCTGTATCTGCTCATAAAGACACACAAGCTTTTAGATGCAGATGACTTAGCTCCAATCAACCCAACATGCGTAGAAGTTCGTCCTATCATAAGCTGCGTGGATGGTCCAACTGACCGGATTGCTTGGTTTCTTAATACCATCCTAGTGCAGCTCCTCAAAATCATACCCTCCCACCTCACAAACATCCAAATGTGTCGATAGCCTCGGCGCACTACACTCCAGTGGCTCGTGCGTTATTGAATCCTTTGACAACAAAGCTCTCTACGCAAATGTCAGCAATGGTCTTCTGTGGAAGCCTTCAGGTCTCTCGGTCAGCATCAGAACGATATTAGTATACGAGAGCCTTCTATATCCCAACTGACGACACTTGTGAAGGAATGCCTCAGTTGTAAAATTTTCAAGTGCCCGGGGAGGTATTTCGCACAGTTCAGAGGCTTAGCAGTGGAGCAGCGATTGGCGTTTATTTTGACCAGACCGTTCATGGCCAAAATTGAGGCGCCTGTGCTGAAATACCTTCCCTCATATGACTGCATGTATATCGATGATTTATTCATAGTCTGTGCAAAACAGGAAGAAGTAAATGTGTGTTTCGGCCTACCCAATTCATAAGCAGATCACATTAAGTTAACAAGGGAAAATCGACCGAAAATTGGCTTCCTTTCTTAAACATTCAAGTGAGGTTACCGGGCGATATGATTTTTACGAAGTGGTACAGAAAGCCCAGCATAAGAACATCATTATCTACTCACTCAGCTCACCCTTTTTATGTAGAACAAGCGGTTGGTAGGATTATGTCCCGCACTGCTAAGAAGGTTTGCACCAGAGAGTCGCTTGAAATGGCACGCGATATAGCTTGATCGAGGGCTACTACAAATTATCAACACACGTAGAGCCTCTTCTAGTAGTGGGATCCTCAGACATGGTAGTGCCTCCGTTTTTACTACCATTTGTTTCTGATGTGGTCAGCACCCCCATCAGGAAGTATCCAAAGAGATTGGGTTTGGAGAATTTAGTTGCTAATGTTAACGCACTACCCTTTAATTTGAAGGACGCATAGTTCGGAACAGACTATACGTCGCCTATGTACAACCTCAAACGGTCCTCCAGCTGAAAGGGAGGATGATTGTAACATGTCGGGGGTGGTCTACAAAGTTACTCCCCATGAATGTGATGATGAGCATTGTGATGAAACGGCAAGACCACTCCACGTGAGGACTAAGGAGCACATTGATGGTATGAGACGATTGAATGAGTCTACTGCCTTACGGAGTCACCGAATTCGAAAGCATAACGGAGGCGTTTTTGTGGTCACCGTGACGGTTGTAGCATAGGAGTCAGAATTGTGCGCATGTCAAACCCTCGAGGTATTTTCGATGCATGTCACTGATCCAAAAATGAATCGTAGGGAGGAATGTCTCGCGATCACGCGGAAGCTGTGGCCTTATATAAGATTGGCCTTCCCGCAGTGACTTTGAACGAGGACTTACTCCAGCTGACACTGGTCGATAGTTACCATCACTTGCTGGGTAGTTTCGAAGAATCCACGAAGCTACAGTGAGTGCCTCTCTTATCGATCACTTGCGTACCCTGGGGGCCTCGAACTTCGGTGAGTTGGTGGAGACGTTCTGTTGGATAGTCACAGATTGTTATGATCCTTTCAGGCTCTGTAGAAGCTTGTTCACAAACCTCGTGTTGAACTCTTCACGAGCTTTATTAGGATCACTCGTTCAAGTGAACAATAAATTCAAGAGCAATGTTTCCTCTGATATGCTGCCCTCAATACCAGCATGTGTATACATCGGATTGAACTCTTCATATTTCCTTATTAAATCGAATTACACGGATGCAATGCGCATTTTTCTTCCCTAGAACAACTGCTATTCGCGGTAGCATAGATCTGCATGATAAGAACTTACTTTTGTAACCATTTTCAGTCTTGTGTTATTCACTACCCGATCCCGCGAGTCCTAGGGGCAAGGTGCCACAGACATGATCAGATCATGTAGGGCACGTGGCGAGCTATGCACGCACGAATATGGCGGCGATCGCTCGGTAATGGAAGCATGCTGGTAAGAGCGGAAAAGGTGAACAACCCGTCACGCCTCGCAGGGGTTTTGAACGCCACACAACGAAGAAGTGCTGACCTGAGTTCAAATGGTTACTAAGCAATTCTTGAGTCAGCTCTAATTGTTGTTCGTATTCGTTTATCGATGGCGATCTTCTGAAATTTTGACGAAATATCTCTCAGAGAGATGGCACGTCTTAGATGCAAGCTACTTCCAAATCAAGTTTTCCCAGAGAATTCCTTTTTGAACTAAACCACAACAAAGTTCACGATAATTTGAGGTATTCGCTTTTATTAGAAAAGCGGAAGTATAGGTTCGAAATAGTTCATCGGTTGTGAAGAAAGCGAGAGAATTCGCCGATTCGGCGTTAAATAAGGCTCCTGAAAAGTAGTGAAAGTAGAGGTTGGACGAGATTGCTATGACAGAAATAACATGGATGGGGTATTCAATAACATGGATGGGGTGCGAGATTTCAGCCGTTGTAATTGCACAGAGAGCTGACTACATGAAGCCATAACTGTGCAGAACTACCTTCCATTGTCCCTGTGGGTCATGACAGGTTGTTTGAAGTCCCTACGGCTTCCTTGCGGTCGGTGCAGCCACTACGATGCCGGTGAAACTCGTCCGAAGGTACACACGGTACAATTTTTGTGCCTTTATTACTCCCTGACTAGGCTGTTTTCCGAACTATTATAGTAGCGCCAGAAATGGTCTACGGGACCGCATTTCATCTTATGGAATAATCTCAGAAACCTTTCATCGTGAAGCGTGCAATCCCATTCCGCTGCGCCTTCGCTTCTCTCTTAAGCATTCTAAAGTTAATGGAATCATTAATACTAACTATTGCAACACTCGAAGCATTGAAATCTGAAACTATCTATTATTTGTACGTATTAAATAACCGTAGCAATCAGTTGTTCCCGATAAAGTATGTAACGGTTCAATAAGCGCACGACTAAAAAACTTTCGTTTAACCTGATAAAAGCGCTGTATGAGAAACATCTTCTTTCAGTAACCGCTGTGGAGTGGAAATGTGGCCATTTTTCCTTTTTCCAAAAACAAGAACCCTTGTGAAAGCACCTTTTTCCTGGGAGATGGATTTGAATCAATGCAACGAAGCTGTCTGTCGTTTTGCAATGAGCCACATGAAATGATCGTGTGGCTCATTGCGAGGCCAATGGCTCATGCGAGGCTCATGTGAGCGAGGTAAATTGAAAGTTGATCGTGGTCGGGATACGTAGGCTTCTGTAATAACCCTTTCGGAAGATTCTGAATCCTCCGCTAGCTACAAATAAGGGAGAATTTGTCAATGTCATACTATTCAAGTGAAATCTTAATGATAAGCAAAGACTAGTTCTCTCGCTAGTCGATTCGGCGAAATTATTGCATTCTAGTTCTGTCAAGTTAATTCTCCTTTGAGTCTGTCACCAATAATGATTGCAAAACTTTCTCGGGTAAGACTTCGCCAAACAAAGAGAAGTCAGAGGAGAAATGTTGCATGCCCAAGAAAGGTGCATGGTGATGCATAATTATTGCGGATTTTTCCGCGGCTTCTTTTCTCTCGACACACTTTGAGTATTGCGGATTTTTAAAAAATGAATAGAAATGATCTTTCCGCTTTCCTCAACAGAAATATGTCTGAAAAGTCATCCTAATATCCCATTCACCTGTTTACAACACCTGTCGTCCCAGTGATCGCCAATTGGCTGCTTTCATAGTCCGCCGGGCCAACGCCGGCCAGGCGGCCGGCGTGCCGGCGTTGGCCCGGCCCCTTCGAGGGGCTGAAAACAAACACCCTTCGAAGGGGCGTGGACTGTTTGTGCCAATTGGCTGCTTTCATAGTCCGCCGGGCCAATGCCGGCCAGGCGGCCGGCGTGCCGGCGTTGGCCCGGCCCCTTCGAGGGGCTGAAAACAAACACCCTTCGAAGGGGCGTGGACTGTTTGTCTAACACTGTCTGCCTCCCTCCTCCCTCCTAGCACTGCCTCCGCCGGCACGCCGGCCGGCGGACTATGAAAGCAGCCATACCCTCGAGCGGGCGCCAGTAACGTCTCGATTCGTCCCTCTCAAGAGCTAGAGTGGTCCAGTGAATCGTCCCAGTCTGTAATCCCTGGTTCAACGGCCGACCTATATCGCATAACCTGTCCGGCCCACCAGACTACCGATTTCTTAATCAACGGCATTCCTAATCATCGTTCGATGACGGAGCTCGGAACTCCGGCTTCCCTTTTGCACTTGCGTGAATAGGAAAATTCCGAGCATCTTCCTTTCTAGAGCGCGTTGAATAACGCTGACAGCAAGTATATTCTGCTTTCCTAGAGTCCAAGTCTCTGAGGTGTACTTCGAAGCAATAAAGACAGCAGTTTCGGAAAGGAGGACCCGGATGTTTCTTTTTCTTCAGTACTCCCCCGATGTTCTCGAATGCTCCCCACGCCGCACCTTTCCGTCTGCTCAGCTCCGGAGCTAGGTCGTTCATCATGTTGACTTCCCGACCTACACGTAGTTAGAGCATTCAGAGATATTCGTTATATTCAGCGTGAAAGTAAGACCTGGAACCATTCCGTTTCCCATAAACATCGTCTCACCAGGGAAGGATCGCAAGTCAAAGTGGCCAATTGAAATGAGACCTACACTGCTGGACGTGTTTTTGGATGCTGAGGTCAATTCGCTTTCCAAATTTGGCGAGCGTTTCTCTGAACGGAGTTATGAG